TTGTGGGAGGACCTGTGTGTTAAGTGTCAGATCTTCCCAGGTGTGTAATTTCTAGGATCACAATAACCTGGCTCTTGGAAACTCATGCCCGGCTTTGGGCTGGTATAGGGACACGTGCTTCTAGAGCTGCAGCCTCCAAACCTGAGGGTAACCAGAGAGGCCTCCCGTCACCTCAGTGGTGAAAGCAGGAGGGACCCTGACTGCATTCCTGTGCAAAACTGTCGGTGTTTGGCTTTGGAGTGTGTTTCCTGTGAAATCATGGGCTCCTGGAAGTCCTCTCTGGACGATGAGACCCCGTGTGGTCAGATGAGGCAAACTGAGGTGTGAGGAGAGGACAGGGCAGGCACTGGGGCCCAGGGCAGTAGCAAAGAGGACAGGTGTCATTTCCTTGGGATCGGCATCGCTTTGGGCTACTGGTAGGAGCAGGGCAGGTCCTGAGCTTGCCTTGACAAGTTCTGGTAGAGCTCGGGCATTTTATGGGAGAAGAGGCCTCGTGGCTAGGGGTGGCTCAGACTGAGAGATGGGAGGGGCCTGGCTTCCCCAGCCTCGCTGAGCAGCCAGGGTCTTGGTGTAACGGTACAGACGTGGAGGCGTGGTGGAGAAAGACATCTGATCTCGGAACAGCAAAAGCTAGCCCATGTGACACCAGCTCCCCCTCCTGTCCCCTGCCAGACATTCCTATCTTCTTGCCTGTCAAGCCCAGATAGGATCTTAAAAATCTCTGTCCTTGGGCCAGGGGTATCACTCCATAGCCAAGTCCTTGCCTAGCATTTGTGAGGCCCTGGGTTTGATCCCCAGCACCACACACACACACACTCTCACATACACACACTCGCACTCCATTTCCCTGTGAGCCTCACCAGCCCTCTGGAGGGCAGTTGTGTAGGATGCAGCCCCACGTGGGACCACCAGCCACGTCTCTGTCCGCAGGCGGGATGTCAGTGGCAGTTCCTGGTGAGATCCGCTGCTACGAGCTGGCGCACCGGCGACACGGGCGGCTGCCTTGGCACCGCCTCTTCCAGCCTAGCATCCGGCTGGCCCGAGAGGGCTTCCCTGTGGGCAAGGGCTTGGCGGGAGCCCTGAACCGAACACGGGCCGTCATCGAGCAGTCTCCTGCCCTGTGGTACGTCCGCAGCCGGGGGCCGCCACCCACGGTCCCCAACACCTGCGAGGGCCTGGTGGAGCTGGGCTCGGCCTTGAGGAACCCGTACCGGCTGGGGCACTGGGTCGAGCCTTAGTGGACACCGTGGTAGGCCGTGTCGCTGGGGTGGCGTGGGACACTGGGGGGACACACAGGCTGAGGAGAAGGTGTGCACGGGGCAGGCGTGAGGGTGGCCCGGCTGACTCCACCTTACCTGCTGCCTCGCGTGTTCTTTCTGTCCCAGTGAGATTTTCTGCCGGGATGGGAAGGTGCTTCAGGAGGGGGAAACAGTGACTATGCAACGGCTGGCCAACACCTATGAGACGCTGGCCCGAGAGGGGGCCCAGGCCTTCTACAACGGGAGCCTCACAGCCCAGATCGTGAAGGACATCCGGGAGGCTGGTGAGTGCCCGAGCGGGGAACCCTGCAGCGGGATCCTGGAGCCAGGGTCCAGGCCCTGAGGTCCTCCTGCCTTTTCTGTACTGGGCACTGGGCCCTAGGAGAGTTCTTGGCAGGGGAGGGGCAGTGACGGGCCACATGCGATCACGGTTCCATCACAGAGCCCAGGAGGAAAGTCCCAGGGGGTTAATGGAGGTGCAGGCAGGAACGGGGCTGGGGAAGCCCTCGAGTGCCGACCGAGGATCCAGGAGGCTCCCCTGTAAGGAGTGGTGCCTGAGCTGCAGACGGCTGTGTTGGGTGCAGAAAGATCCCCAAGAAGGTGGAATGCTTGGGCTGAGATGCAAAGAGGGATTCTGATTCCCTGAGAGACTCACAGGACCAAGGATGGGCTCAGGAGAGAAGCATCGGAGGGCCTTTCTGTTTGTTTGTTTTTTTATTTTGTTTGTTCATTTTTGAGATGATGCTTTGCAATGCAGGCTGCCCTTGAACTCACTATGTAGCCCAGGATGGCTTCAAACTAGTAGTGATCCTCTTACCTCAGCTTCTCCCGTACTGGGACTACAGGTGTGCACCACCATGCCCTCCTAGAGGGCTTAGCTGTGGCCTCTTTAATGTAATGTTTGTCCATGTTTTATGCAGGGTGATTAGCACATTGGCCTTTACTGTTCGGCAGCGGGTTGAGACAGGGTCTCACTATGTAGTGAGACTGACCAGGAACTCACTGTGTAGCCCAGGCTGGTCTCTAACTCACAACGATCCTCCTGCCTCAGCCTCCCGCATGCTGGGATTACAGGCGTGCGCCATCACGCCTGCCTTGGCCTTTACTATTAATGCTAGAAATTAGCCTGTAACTACTCTATTTGGAGCCAGTTTCCTGGAGAACTAAGGGCCTCCCTCCAGCCACCCATGCATCAAGGGAAAAGGGAGCCCAGCAGAGAAGACACAGGAGCAGGTGTTCTCCAGTTGGAAAAGAACCTGTGGCCACAGGGAGAGGGGAGAAGCCAGGCTGGAAGGCCCAGGAGGAAGGCAGGCGAGCACTGTTAGGGAGAACAGAAGGCCTGAGCCTGCAGGGCGGGCAAGGCTCCCAGCTTGATGCCCCCGTGACCCTTTGTGCTGGTGCAGCCCCGCCCTCCCCCCCGGTGTGACCCTGTCTTTCCACTCAGCTGTGAAGCCCTTCATAATTCCTCTGCGCAGAGCCCTGTTTCCCTGTTACACTGCAATCCCTGGCCTTCTGCCCGGCGTCTTCTGCGGTTCAGGCCCCCCCGTAATGCATCCCGGGTCCCTACTGTGGTGCAGCCCCGTCCCCACGTCCCCTCGAGCGACTGTCCCATTGCAGGGGGCATCATGACGACCGAGGACCTGAACAACTACCGTGCTGAGCTGCTCGAGCACCCGCTGAACATCAGCCTCGGGGACTCGGTGCTGTACGTGCCCAGTGCCCCACTCAGTGGGCCTGTGCTGGTCCTCATCCTCAACATCCTCAAGGGTGAGAGGCCCCGCCGTGGCCCTGCGGAGGGGCCACGAGCCTGCTTCTCCCTCCCCATGCTCCTTTGGGGGGACACCTGCAGCGCAGGCCTCCCCACCTCCTGTCTTCCACCCACAGAGCATCCCCTGGCGTGGCGCCACCTCCTGGCTCTCCCTGTTGCTGCAGGAGGTGGTGTGGGTGACCAGGGCTGGCCAGGGCGGCAGAGCTCAGGGGCTGGAGGACAAGGGGTGGTCAGGAGGGAGGCTGGTATGGGATTTCGGGGCAGGGACCCAGCCCAGAGGGAACCTCTGGGTTTAGACCATGGAGCCCTTGGGCTGGACATGTGAGGCCCAGGCTGGGCGCTGCTTCTGCCTTCCTTTCTGAGCCAGCTCCTGCTTCTCAAGGTGGGCAGCACGGCTCGGGGAGGTAAACTTTGAACCTCTCTGTACCCCCTGGGCTGCCAAAAAACACCTGGCTCCGACCAACCAGGATACAACTTCTCCCCGGCAAGTGTGGGCACCCCTGAGCAGAAGGCCCTGACGTACCACCGCATCGTGGAGGCGTTCCGCTTCGCCTATGCCAAGAGGACCCTGCTTGGGGACCCCAAGTTTGTTGATGTGTCTAAGGTAAGGGACTGGCTCACAGTGGGCAACAATGAGGCCCCCAGGACTACCCCAGGCTCACACGTGCTTTCTGGATCCATTCCTGCCACCAACTTTGACTGGGGGTCTACAGTGTGCTGGGATGTACTGGTTACCCCAAGTCCTAGCCTTTGTATTGTGGAGCTTATAGTTGGGAGGGCTAGGGAAGCAGACTGGAAAACGGTAGTTAGTGTGCCCCTTTTCTGGCCAACTCCTGCCTCAGGGCCTTTGCGTGTGCTGGCCCTTCAGCTTAGAAGGTTCTGGCATGGTCCTTGCTAAGGTGAGATGGGTAGGGGTGTTGCAGCCCTCAGGAATGCTAAGAAGGATGAACCAAGGTTTGAGGGACAGAGGTCATGGCAGCCTGCTCCCTGGTCACACCCAGAAACTAGTGCTTCCCCAGACCCCTACTCTGGACCCAGCATTACCTGGCCACTTACTTGGCTTGGAGCATAGATTCATGCAAGGGCTCTGTGAGGATTCCTGTCACGTCCTCTCTTGCTGAGGGCCCCAGGTCCTTCCCTATCTACTTGCATCCCTGGCATTCCCAGGGATTTGCAGACCTGCTCGTGCTGACTTGTGAGCAGCCAGGAAGGCCCTTGACATTCTCTGGAGAGCACGCTGCACCCCCACCTGCCTGCAGCCGGTGACGTGTTCCTTGTCTGTCTGGAGGGTAGAAGCCGCCCCACGCGGCCTAGCTCGGCCCTTCCTCCTGTCTGAGGCTCACCCTTCCTGCTGCTCTCCACCATTCAGCCTGTTCCCCTCCGGCTGCGCATTCCCCCCGCTAACAAGGGCGATCTTGCCAGGCTCATCTTCACCCCCTTTGTGTATACTCTGTCGGTGCCAGGGTGAGCCCAAGGCCTCACATGTGCTAAGCAAGCGCTCTTGCTGAGCGCCATCCCCAGTTTACTTACTTGTATTTTTGTGGTCCTAGGGATGGAACCCAAGGTCTCACGCATGCTAGACAAGCACTCTGCCATTGAGCTGTTTCCCTGGCCATTGAACCCAGTGCCTTAAAAAAAATTTTTTTTTTTCAAAATTTTGAGAGAGAAGCTTAAATTGCTAAGTTGCTGAGGCTGGACTTGAACTTGCAGTTGTCCTACCTCAACCCCCAGAGTGTTGGGATTACAGACAGGCACCACTATGCTTAGCTTATCCTTTATTGTTTTTTTTTTTTTTCTTTCTTTCTTTTTCTTCTTCTTTCTCGGTAATGGCGATCCAACTCAGGATCTTGTGCTTGCGAGGCAGGCGCGGTGCCACTGAACTAACTCCCCAACCCTTCTATTCTTTTTACCCCACGCTGGGCCAGTCACCACCCCCTCTCCGTAGGTGAACACAGACGGCTTCTTATTCCCCACTTGGCCACCAGAGGGACTCTGTGAAACCGCTTTCCATGAAGCTCCTTCCTCCTCCCCCCGCCCCGGGGCTACGTGGCTCAGGGCAAAGCCTGATTCGGTCTTTGTGGGACCTGTCAGGCCCTACAGAAAGGGCCCCGGCCAGTGCCTTCCATCTCCTGTCCCGGCATCTCGTATGCTCTGCCTGGCAGCCGCAGGCCAGCCCCACCTGCTTCAGGGCCTTTGTTTACCCTTTGGGCCTCATTCTGGGCTCTCTTCAGGTGGTGCCTCCTCTAAAAAGTCCTCCCGGACCACCCTGTTCGTGTTCTACCCCTTTCAATACCAACTTACAGCCACCACTTTCCCCGCCCGCTGTCGATTCCCCCTCTGCCGGTGGGCAGGGACCTACATGTCTGCTTCCTGTTGATTCCTCTCCCCGGGCACACAGTACAAGCTCCAGAGGTACTTGGAGGAATGGATATGGCAAGACTGGGGCTTGAGGGATGGACAGACGGAGACAGAAGCTAAAAGAGAGGAGGAAGTGGGCCACGGGAGGCGCTGGGGTGCAGCCAGAGGGCTTAGGGTGCAGGCGGGTTAGGGTCACTCCGCCATCAGGGCCTCCTAAGACCTGCTCGACCGCCCTGTGCCCGCTCCCTGTCCTCCCTTCCTGCCTCCTCAGGCCAGCTCTGGGGTCTCGGCAGGTGATCCACAACATGAGCTCCGAGTTCTTCGCAGCCCAGCTTCGAGCCCGGATCTCTGACAACACCACGTACCCAGTCTCCTACTATGAGCCCGAATACTACGCACCTAACGATGGGGGCACCGCTCACCTGTCTGTGGTCTCGGAGGATGGCAGTGCTGTGTCTGCCACCAGCACCATCAACCTCTAGTAGGGGTCGTGAGGCTGCTGGGTGGCGCAGTGCCGGAGGCTGCCCACGCGCCCCCCAGGGGCCTCCCACTGCCGTGGAGGGACACGGATGCCCC